GTGCGCCCCGCCCCTTGGCTGAGCGGGGGAGCGCCGGGCTGGGGGTTAGCCTCGCCTAATCCGCCGGGCCCCTCCCTCGCTGCTGCCCTCCGATCAAAAAAAGGCGAGCCCAGCTCCCTTCCCCGTCTCTTATTACGTAAACAACAGAAAAGTTAGCCCCGAGCCCGGGCGCGCATGCATGAGAATAGAGCTGTTCAAAGCAAAAGCTGCACGCTTGAACCGTGCCCTTGAGAACTATTGTCAGCGCCTTTCAAGTCTAAAGCCCTCAAAAATACCCTTCCTAAAGCTCTTCAAGGCTCCACCCATATAGCCACTTGACTAATTAAACTTTGCTTTAAGCTTCAACAGTAAAAATGCATTCTAAATGGTAAACAGTAAATGAGGAAAATGTAATCGGTTCTTGAATTGAGAGAAGAAAAAGTTTCGGGAAGATCTCAGACTCAAAATAGAATGAGTTTAGTAATGAGGGGACTAGTCCCTAACGTAGCAGGTAGCAGGTCATTGCTGAGCCTTCAAAACACGACTTCAGCGGAGCAATTACCCTCCTGTTACAGAGGGTAGAGAGGATGATGGGGACATGGAGGCTGCCTGGTGACCATGTTTTATGGGGTAACCATGCATAGTAATATGCTGATAAATTTATGTGCCCCTTTCCTTAAATTTGCACCAGAACTGCCTTCTTAATCTGTCTTTGATACGTTAAAGCCTCAGAAGCTTAATGGCTCCCATAAACCTCCTAGTGTGGCATTCAAGGCCCTGACCTTATCCAGTTAAATTAGACTGTCACTAGTATTATAATAGAGGTAGCAGCAAGTGCTAAGAGGTTCTGAGTAGAGAGATGGTTCCTAACTAAAAGGATCTAGAAACTTCTTAGAGTAGATGGTTTTCTAATCTAGCCTTGGAGAATATCAACAAGTGGGAAGTAGGCAAAGAAACATTCTGCACAATAAAAACAGAAGCTCAAAAACCCATCTATTGACACTTCCCTAACTCCTCCCCCAGTTCCCCTGGTTCCTTTTCTTTTAAGTTCCTTCGCTTGTTTCTCTGAGAAAGGGCTTCCAGACTCCTAAATCTTCCTGGTCTACTCCTCAGTAGGACCTTTGTTTTCCTGAATTGGACAGTATGTTACTAATTAATGCAGCGTCAGATGCAAGATGGAATGAAGGCCCTAAGGTGTGTAACACACGAAGGTGATTACTACTTACTATCAAATGCAAGCTGTCCCCATGAATCAAACTTGAGAAGTATTAATTTTCATTGAACCAAAAGAGAGAAGGAAGGAAATACCAAAAGAAAGGAAGGAAGGAAAAAAGAAAGACCAAAGGAAATACTTTTAGGCCTGGTACAAACTTTTCTACATTTATTCTCTTTTAAAATTATTTTTCTTTCATTTTTTAACTAAAATCTAATTGGAGGTTGCATGGCCCAGGGAACAATTCTGCCTCTATCAAAGCCCTCAAAGACACAAACTGCTTTCTTTCCCCTTTTTATGTCCAAAAAGACAAAAATGAAACATCTCTTTTTAAACTTGTTAGATAAATGTCCTTCATTTCCTCTATCTTACTGCTTAGTGGAAATGTCTTAATTGCCAGTTCATTCCCACATATAGTGATGCAAATAGAAGAATGGCAAATTGGCAGCTGTGTTCATTTAAAATTATCAGAGGCCCTTGTTCAAGAGATGGCATATTCAGAGTAACCCAAATTATCATGACATGAACACCAAGGTCAAATTCAACGCCAGGTTACAAATCAATAGAAAATTTCCTTGGGGGAACTTGAATTCTTAATTGTTTATCAAGAGACTGTATTTCACTCTGCTACATCCAAAATTTAAGATCTTCTGCAAGATAAATACTTTGAAATGTGAATGAGTTTTGGTTTTCTTATTTTGAGAATATGGACTTTCCTACATATTTAATTCATCAAATTTAATTGTAATGATATATGTTCTTTTTTTAAATCTTTATTGTTGAAAGTATTACAGGTGTCCCATTTTTTCCCCATTACCCCCTCGACCTTGCTCCCACCCCCTCCCCAGGCCTTCACCCCATGATTGACTGTGTCCATGGGTTATGCAGATATACATATAACTTCTTTGGTTAATCTCTTTCTACCCCCCACCCCTCTTTCCCTCTGAGATAGGACAGTCTGTTGCATGCCCCAGTGTCTCTGGGTCTATTTTGTTTGTCAGTTTCTTCTGTTCATCAGCTTCTTCTTAAAAAAGATGCTTCAACATTTCACATAGTACTGGTCTGGTGATGATGAACTCCTTTACCTTTTTCTTATCTATGAAGCTCTTTACCTGACCTTCAGTTCTAAATGATAGCTTTGCTGGGTAGAGTAGTTTTGGTTACAGTTCCTTGCTTTTCATCACTTTGAATATTTCTTGCCACTCCTTTCTGTCCTCCAAAGTTTCTGTTGAGAAATCAGCTGAAAATCATATGGGTACTCCCTTGTAGGTAACTAACTGCTTTTCTCTTGCTGCTTTTAAGATTCTTTCTTTGTTTTTAACCCTTGACATTTTAATTATGCNTCTCTTTGTCTTTAACCTTTGGCATTTTAATTATGATGTGTCTTGCTGTGGGCCTCTTTGGGTTCCTCTTGTTTGGGACCCTCTGTGCTTCCTGGACTTGTAAGTCTATTTCTTTCCCCAGGTAGGGGAAGTTTTCTGTCATTATTTTTTCAAATAGGTTTTTAATTTTTTGCCCTCTTTCTTCCCTTTCTGGCATGCCCATAATGCGAATGTTGGGCTGCTTGAAGTTGTCCCAGAGGCTCCTTACACTATCTTCATATTTCTGGATTNTTGGGCCTCTTGAAGTTGTCCCAGAGGCTCCTTATACTATCTTCATATTTCTGGATTCTTTTTTCTTTTTGCTCTTCTGGTTGGATGCTTTTTGTCTCCTCACGTTCCAAATTGCTGATTTGATTCTCAGCGTCCTCTGCTCTACTGTTGATTCCCTGTAAACTATTCTTCCTTTCAGGTAGTGTAGCTTTCACTTCTGACTGGTTCTTTATTATGTAATTGATGATCTCACTAGTTTCCTTAATAATCTTACTAAGATCCATGATCATCCTTATAACCATTGTTGGGAACTCTGTATGTAGTAGCTTGTTTGGCTCCA